GGTAGCAACAGGTCAAATTAAACCAGGCAGGCCAGGACCCAGAGGGTCATGCCTCTAAGACTAATGAGGTGTGTTCCTTAGGCCTTTCAAAAAGCATCCCCTAGCAGCCTCAGTGCCATACCTTGGTTCTGCTAGATCATTCCCCACTCTAGCATCTGGGCCTTGGTAACTTGTGCCAGCCTTATCTTGAGTGGTTCTAAGTTGCCTGCTTGGCTTTGACCTCTCCTGTTCTGTCTCATCAGCTCCTGCCATTAGCCCTTCTCAGTATCTCTCTGCTCAAAACATGCACCACGCATTGGTTCTTGCCCACAGTCCTCCAAGATCTGTGCATCAGTCTTGGCACCGCCTCTCCCTCCTCTCTGCTGTTGACTTTTTGTTTCCTGTTTTAAAGCTGAGAGCTAGTTAAATATTTTTGCCCTGCTGTGATGCTTACCTAGGGAAGATTAATTTGTATATCTTTTTACAATGTTGTTGAAAGATAATAAAAGCTTGACAGAAGGTATAGTGTTTGCAATAGGGGAAAGGAATAGATTCAAGAAATATATTATAATAATAGAAGTGACAGGCTGGGCACAGGTGGCTCACGCCTGTAATCCTAGCTACTCAGGAGTTAGAAATCAGGAGGATCAAGGTTTGAAGCCAGCCCAGGCAAATAGTTTGCAAGACCCTATCTCTAAAAACCCTTCACAAAAATAGGGCTGGTGGAATGGCTTAAGGTGAAGGCCCTGAGTTCAAGCCCCAGGAGTGACAGGAGTCAAATGAGTACTGAGTGTTTGACCCTGTATGGATGCAAATGATTTTAGAAGGACCAGCAAATAAATTTTCTTTCTTTATTTTGATCTTCAATTCTGTTACACATAACTTTTCTTACTTTGACAAAGTTGATATGAAGCTAAGTTTTGTGGTTAGATGAGTTGTCAAAGAGGCTTCTTTTAGCTCTAGTGAGGATTTGTCTGAGAGGTTCTGAGCATTGAGGTTAAGTGAATGTACCATCAAGATGCCCAGCACCGGCTGGGATCAATGAGTAGGATTAGAAGAAGTATGTTTGTGTCGAAGTCCTTGTATACCAAAATGTGGAAGGAACCTTCCACGGTATCGAGTCTTTCTGTTTTCAAATAACCTCCATCTAGTGGAAGACTTGGCACTTTGTTTTTACCAACAATTTAAGAAAGGGAAGGTTATACCAAGTATGAAGGCAGGGATATTAAAAATTCAATACTGAAGAATCTTAAAAACTGGAAAACAAGCTGGTTTCAACTCAGTTTATGTGGTAGCCAGAAGCTGATCCACTTATTTGAGTATTTTCATTATGGAATATTAAATAGTCAAATTTTACTGGTCAACTAACTTGTGGTCAAGTACTGTTTTAAAACACTTTTTTTAATGTACAATACCTTGTCTACTCCTCATACAACACAGTGATGTGGGCATCTCATTGTCTCTATTTCATAGATGAGAAAAATTGAGGGTTTGAGAGGGAAAGAGGGAGAGGCTCAAAGTAACACAGCCAGCTCATGCTCATGCTTTTTGCCTTCAGCTCGTCAATGCTACTGTTCTATGTAGTTTTTAAAATTTTTTTGTTTTTTGCGATGGGGTCTCACCATGTAATCCAGGTTGGCCTCAGTCTCACGATCCTCCCGCCTGCTGAGTGCTGGAATTACAGCTATGCATCACCACACCCAGCCTTGTGTAGCTGATGTTGATTCAGGGTCCACTGAAACGTCTATGGGATGACCGCTCCTGTGAAGGCAGCTGTTCCGTGTGCAGTGGGTCAGGGGTCCCCAGTTGGAGTGACAGTACTCAACTGCCTTTGGCTTCTTGATTCCTTAGTTCAGCTTGAAGAGCATTTTCTGGTGCTTGGCTAGGGGCTCCAGCATGACCATATCACTGTCATTTAGTGACTGTCAGTTATGGAACATTCTAGGTGCCAGCCATAGTGCTAAGCATTGTTCTCTGGAATCATTACAACCCTTGTCCTCCTTTCACATGTGAGAAGGAAGAGGAAGTAACTTACATTATTGTAGTCACCAGGAAACAGAAAATTCCAGATTCAGGTAGGATAGGTAGACATAGTAAGGTCAAGTAATAATAAAAGTTTATTGAAAGTTAACAAAAGCAGTTAGAAAAGGCCGTGGGGGACAGGTGGAAGCCAGAAGCAGAGAGTGCTCCATTTGAAGGAGTGGGAGGGATTTGGGCGGTCTGCTGGGTCTGGGTGGGAGGGTGATTGACAGGTACTCTGCGCATGCGCCCAAGCCTGCTCCTGGCGTTCTAATCATATGCATAGGGTATGGGATGTGATTAATACTCGTGTTTTTATCTGAGTGATAATGCAAGGCAGAATCACCCCGAGGCTTTTTTTTGTCTTAGAATTTACAATAGCAAAGGATAAGCATTGGACTGAGATAAGCAGTTTAGCATGAAATGTGCCAAGAATAAGTTACATGAGGTCTGAGGAGTCGGTCCCAGGGCATCTTTTCCTGTGTCCTAGCCTGCCTCAACATGAGGTCCCACAGCTGGTAAGCAGAGGTGGGACTTGAACCCATGTCTATCTGACTTCAGAGTTCATCTCCCTAACCACAGGGGTATTTTGCCCCAACACTAGACACTGCTGTCATGCTCAAGGTCCTTAACATTGAGCGCCCGCGTATGTAAACTCAGATTTTATCTAAAATCTAGACACATTTGGAGACTAGCTTCTTTTTTCCCTGGAACTTATGACATTATTAGCTGTTTGATTCTTTTTGAACCAAGCCACGAGGTTAATTATGCAAGAAAGCTGCAGTCTCTTCCTTATAAACATCACTTGGAAGATGGTGTGTTGACGGTGCCATGTGCAGATAATGAAGTCACAGAAGCATTTCCTCATACACTGGAAGGGAGTGGTGGCATCTCAGCACCTCGGTAGAAGCAGGGTGTGTGAGGAGAAGGCTTGGTGATGTGGCAGAAAATCAGCTTTCAAAGCTTTGCAGAACTCATCATAAAATGACAACCACTCCTTTCATTTCAATCCAAGTGCTTGCAAGAGTGCAAAAATTAGCATCAGCCATTGATAAACTGCTGATGTGACAGAGCAAACAGTGGTTGCTTGGAGCTAAAGGGAAAATTTTGTTAATTATTTGTATATGTCTCATTAAAGTGAGATTCTTCCTCATTGTGTGATTTCTCAATGATTTCCCACTCCTATATAAGAAAATTATAGACAAGAATAGAGAATTTTACTACTTATGTGCTCTAATAAAAGCTAATAAAATAATAGCCAATTTGATGGTTATAAAGCCTAAGTGTATTAAAGTATTATGCAAATACTGATTAATTATAATGCCATAAACTCACAGAGCAAGCCAAAGCGTGCCTGATTCAAATTATAGAGGCTTTTATTTGTATATCTACTGAAATCTATTATTAGTGAGTCTCAAAAGACTTATAAGTAATAATTACTAAACCCCATAAATGACCAGTAATTGTCATTTTATTAAGAGAATTCAAAAGAATTCCCCTTTATCTCATACATATCGTAAAGACTGAAATGCCCAAGAAAAAGTAATAGTCTCCCTCTACAGAGGCAATTCATATGCTAGCATGCTTTGTGATTTCATAAGCATACAAGTACACGGCTATTGATTCAAGTTTCTCCTATTGAGTATCTCAATAAACAGGGCTAGGCCTCTTTACTTATTTCTGAAATTTCACATGCATTAATAGCTCTAAACAAATCTTGCTGGTAAGTTATGTTTTAATATTTCTCTGTTGGCTATAATATCAAATTTGAAACACAAAAATTATGTACTAATTGCTCGTCAGCACAGACAGGAAAACTGATGGCTGTTTCTATACTAAGCAGCAAGTACTTGAAAGGTTGTGAGGGTTTTTAATCTGTTTCGCAAAGCTCTTTTGCCCTTCCTCCTCCATTTTTCCTTCTCCTGTACTCACGAACGTTAAGCTGGCGTTAGACAGGCACAAGAATGTTTTCAGCACCCAACTGTCCCTCTTCTCCCAACTCCAGGCCCTATGTAGTCAGTTGCTTAATTTACATCTGGTTCCAGCAGACCTGGTCACTGCTGGTTCCGGCAGACCTGGCATTGCTGGTCACTGTTGTGAAGCAGTGGTGCCTCTGTGATTATACCTCAATGTCATTCATTCAAAGAAAAATGTGGATTAATGAGCACTCTCCTTCATAGTCAAGGGCTTTGGAGCCTGGAGAGCTGAGTGAGTTGTCTGAGGTTGGATAACTGGCTTCTGTCTCACAATTAGAGTTGGGTCCCCTACCCAGGCCTCCACACTCTTAACAAGAGTTTAAGAGTCTTCCTCATGGTAAAAATACAATTCTTTGAGTCACAAAGATCTTTTCGACCAGAAGCATAGGAGCGCAAGTAGAGGAACAGGTTGTTGGTTTTATCCAGGATCTAGGCTCTCAAGACTAGAGGAAGATTCTCAAGGATGAGAAGAAAAATGCCTCCATTTATGTGTACAAGATTAAAACAGGGGACCCTGGGACTACTTTTGGGTCGGAGGTCTGGCAGTAGAGGAGAATAGAGCAAGTTGAAGTGGAGAGAGAGGACAAGAGAGAGTCCTTAGAAGAACTAGAAGGATGGCCAAGCTTATGGTGATGACAATGGGTACAAGGCCTACTGAAGAAAACCCCTCCTGGTTATTGGATGGATGGTCCTGAGGGTCCCCAAAGTCTCAGGGTGAATGCAGAGTGGGGGAAAGATCAAGGCACGAGCAACATGTGTTGGCATCCTCAGAGAACATAGGCTGGTAACAAGTCCCTGGGAAACACTGGTGTTAGAGAGGTGGGAGGGGTATTTATATAAAGAATTATATAAAAAGTAAAGGGGGGACTACTGTGCGTGATCAAAGCACGTTATACGCATATATGGGAATGTCATGATGAAACCCCTTAGTGTGTATAATTTAATACACACCAAAAATAATTACGTAAATTGATGTGTATTCTGTGAGATGTACATTTCAAAATTTTAATTTTCACACTTTTCCAGGAAAAACTGAGGCTGCTATCAAAAACTTCAGTCCATACTATAATCGCCAGTATTCTGTGGCCTTCTGCAATCATGTCCGCAGTGAAGTAGAACAGCAGAGAGACGTAACGTCCCAGTTTCTGAAGAGCAAGGTAACCCATGGCCATTTGGTTCACACATTTCTCTCCCTAAAGAAAGCTTCCTAGTGCTAATACTTTAGAGACAAACAATGATTTGAATGGCAGTTTACAAAACTCTACTGTGAAATCATTTCATGCTCAAAAAACTCCCATTTGCCTGCAAGTTAGACTATGCATGATTTCTTGCTGATGGTGTGACTCATATAAAAAGAAAACTAACATGTTTCAAATTTTATTCAGTGTTTCTTCCTGTACCCCCAGTGCAGTAATATGATAATCAAAAAATAAAAAGATTTTTTTCATTGAGTTCCCTAACTTATTAATATTTCTTTGTTCCATTATAATAATCAACCTCACCCTCAAAAATATGTATTAGTACCTAATTGTCAGACTACAAGAATTGGGGGATAAAAGAAATTTGCTACCTTCCTGAATTTTATATTCAAGCATAGGAGAGAGACAATAAACAAACAAATGGGTATCAGGCAATGGTAACGCTACAAGGAAAAATAAAGCAACAGTCACTTCACTCTGAGGAAGTTGTTGGGGAAGGAAGCCTTCTGTGGAGATGGCCTTTGAGGTGGCTAGAAAGAAATGAGAGCAGGCTGGGGAATTCTTATGGGAAGAGATAGGTGGACCAGAAACTGAGAAGACCCTGAGGCTCAGTCTTTGGGAAGGTGAGTCTGTCAGGAGCACTTCGAGAGATGGAAAGGGTTGACCAGCCTGTACACCTGGGGCCACGATAAGGGTTTTGATTTTGTTTTAAGTGTGATGGGAAATCCCACTGGAGTGACATAGAATTTTAATCTTTTGGCCTCTCAGTAAAGAATAAACTGAGGGGTGCAGTAAGAGGGATGCAAGAAACTGGCAAGGAGGATATGGTAACCATGCAAGCAAAGGAGCATGAGCCAGAGCAGGCTGGGGGTGGTGGTGGTGGTTGTGAGAGGAGGTGTTTATGTCAGAGCTGGCAGAATTTGCCATGAGACAATGGAAGAAGGAAGAAATGTGATGATTTCTTGGTTTTTAACCTGGGCAAATAAATGAGTGAAGTTATCTTTTACTGAGAAGGAAGCACTAGGGTGAACAGGAGTCATGAGTTCACCTTTGCCATGTTAAATTTGAAGATGCTTTTTTGACACACGCCAGTGGAAATATCAAATAAGTGAGTGGATGTTCTGATCTGGAACTTAGGAGAGAGGATGCTGGAGTTCTTAGTGAATAAACAGTAGAAAGCTATGGGGTGTCGTCGAGGGAAGAACATAGGCAGAGAAAGAAAGCAGGGTGCAGGCCCCACTCTCATTTGGAAATCAGAGGAGGAGAGAGAAGGATCCAGCCACATGAACAAGACGAAACAGCCGATTGAGTTGGAGAAAAATCAGGGAAGTGTAATGTGGCAGTAAAGATGTTTCAAGAAGGAATGAGTGATAAGTGGATCAAACACTGTTGAAAGGTTGAGTTTCCCAGTAGATTTAAGAGCATGGATAGCCAGGGAATAACATGTCTATCCCCATAAGACAGTGATACTCAAAATTCAGGGAGCTTGCTAAAAAGGAAAATTCTGACCAGGGTGTGTGACTATAGTCCCAGCTCTTGGGAGGCTGAGACAGGAATATTGCTTGAACCCAGTAGTTCAAGACCAGCCTGGGTAACAAAGGCCCCTGTCTCAAGGCAGCAAAACAAATGTGAATTTTGCCCACAACTCCTGAGATTCTGATGCAGTAAATCTAGGATGAGGCCACATTTTTATTAAGTGGCCCAGATTTGAGAAAAGCTGCACCTAAGAACTGTGGTTTCAGCCTCGTTTAAAGGGAGGACTGAGGTCCTTTTTTCTCTTTTAATGAGAGAAGAGAGGAGATTGTCTCATTATCTGTCAGCACAGCTTTAAGCACTGGAGTTCGGAAGGGAATTTATTTCATCCCTGGGACAATTCTTGAAAGAAATAGGCCTATCTTTCTCCTCTGTATGGTTCATGTAAATTTTTGCTTTAAAGTAGAGAGGAAAGTTCTGAAGGCACTATTTTTTTTTTTAAATAAAAGGAGAATAAATTAAGTCTAGTGACATGTAAAAGACAAGAAGCTTATTCCTATATTTTGAGATAATAAGGCAGGATGGGAATTAGCCTTGCACAGTAAAGCCAATGGAGGAATCTCTATGGTGCATGTATCATGGAGGTGAATGATGACAGCCTTTTAAATACAAGAAGTAGAAGTGAGATTTGCTGGCTTGATGCCTCCTTGTTCTTTAAACAAACATGGCCTCCTGGAGGAGCATGGGAATGGGTGAAGTGTTTATAACCTGGGTCCCCATGGCTTTTGGAGAAGCCATTGAGCACTGGCTCTTGAAGTGTCCCTGAAGGTGTGATGAGTAGGGAGCCAGGCAGCTAACTCTCTTGTTTTTCAGGTGTTAGCCTCGATGCATGACAGGCAGTTGGGGAAGATGTCCATAGTTTATACTAGTACTGCCTTTCTCTCTCTCTCTCTCTCTCTCCCACAGTTTCAGGCACTTATTAACTGCCATATGTATGCAAGACATTAATCCCTTCTGCCGTACGCTCCTGTTCCTAGAGCAGAGTAAAGAAAAATGAAAATAAGAACCCAAATATGTCAAATATTTGCCACAGTTGAGGAGGAAGGGGAAACTGTGGCAGGGAGGAGGAAACAGCAGTCTCCCCATGTCCTCAAGTAATAGCATGAATGGTGGGTGGTAAAGAGGTAGCATCTTTTGCTGTGAAAGCTAATTGCATCCGTCTTCTTCAAGCCACCATTGGAACCTGGAACTGTTTTGTACGAAGCAGAGTTCTCACAGTTTGCTGAAGACGTAAAGAAATGGAAAGACAGATACATTGTGGTTAAAAATGATTTTGCTGTGGAAAGCTATGAGAACAAAGAGGTAAGATACGTCCTTGTTACCACTGATGCGTCCAATATTCTAGAAACATTGACTGGTTGATTGTCACGCCTTGTTCTTGGTGATTGATTCAGTAAACCCTCACTCTTCAGGTACTCATTTCAGTGAGTGGATATTTATTGACTAATGTCTGCTGTCTGCCAAGAGTTGTACAAGGTTCTGGGTAAGGAGCAGCTAATTGGACAAATGCTTGTGTCTAGTGTATAAGATAGACTTAGAGCAGGTGGTGGCAGGTGAGCGTGAAAATAGAAGCCTATGTTGAGTGACCAGTGTTTGGGGAGTCTTCCCTGTGATGGGTCACTCTCACAGTCCTTGTCAATGGTTTTTCTGATGCTTTCCCTCTTCCCACTTGTAAACCTTGCATGTGTGACAAATGACTGAGGAGTTAGTTATTCAATGAGATTATGATTGAATTTGCCAGGAGTCCTAGAAAGTTAGAACACTTCTCATACTTTATTCCACTTACCTCTGGGGATTTTTTTTTTTCATTTCAACTTTTTTTCTGGTTATTTTTCTTATCTTTAAAATGTAGAGAAAATATGAGATTATGTATGTAAAATGTCTACAACGGGGAGGACTTCAGCTTTTCATGTTTCCTAATTTTTTTTTTCCCACTAGGGTTTGAACTCAGGTCCTACATCTTGAGCCACTCCACCAGTCCTTTTTTGTGATGGGTTTTTTGAGATAGGGTCTCTTGAACTATCTCAAGCCCAGTCTGACTTTCTGGCTTTGAACTGAGATCCTCCTGATCTCTGCCTCCTGAGTAGCTAGGATTACAGATATGAGCCACTGGCGCCTGGCTCCTAATTGGTTTCTTTTTTTGTTTTTTTAGTCATGTTAGGGAGGGAACATGCTTTAGGGCAAAGTACATGGGGCAGTGAATTTGGAAGACTAAAGTTTAGGCGAAGTTCTGCCACCACCTAGAAGTGAACTCATGGACAAGTGAATTACTGTCTCAGGGCCTCAATTAAGCTAGAGAATTAGGTCAAATGATCCCAGAGATTCCTCCTCCTCTTTTTTTTTTTTTTTTTTTTTGTGGTTCTGGGCTTGAACTCCGGGCTTTCATGTTGAGCCAATCTGCCTGCCCTTTTTTGTGATGAGTATTTTTGAGACAGGGTCTCCTGAACTATTTGCCTGGGCTGGCTTTAAACCACGATCTCCCTGATCTCTGCCTCCTGAATAGCTAGGATTACAGGCGTGAGCTACCAGCTTTCCCTCCTTCTCATTTCTGATAACAAATAGGAATAAAATATAGTAAAGACTTATTTCACAGGCTCCTGGCAAGTCTCAACTGCTCTCTTGGATAGACTTTTGTTTTTCTTTAACATTGATTAAGCTAGTATTTTCTCTGTTTATCTATATTAGGATTTCACTTAACACTTCATTGGCACTCGGAAGCAAATTTCCAATACACTACACCACCACCACTAATAAAATAGTAATAATAATAACAACAACAATAAATTACCTTATACAATGGCCTCTTACAGTGGCCTCTCAGGGAAGTTTGAGGAAGAGGCAGGGTATCTTAATGGTTAGTTACTATTATGGGCTTTGAATCATGCATTTGCCAGTTACTAGATATTTGCCTAGGTTTAGCCTCAGTTTTCTCATCTATAAAACAGAGTGATTTCATGATCCCTTTGTCGTTGTATTGCTGTGAGAATTAAGCAATGGATTTAATTCGGGCACTTAGCCTATGGCCAGGCCTGTGGCTGAGCCAATAAGAGCTGTAGTTGCTGAGATTACTACAAGTAATTGAGGAAATACTTGTACAATTTGTTCCTAGATTTATGGAGATTTTCACTACATTTGACACGAACTGAAACTTCTTTATGAATCAAACTTTATCTCTTCATTTTTAAAAACCTGCCCCCTCAACTTGCAACTTACGGATTATACTGCTTTCTTTTCTTTGCTCATTATTTTCGACTAACTTGTTCAGGTCGTTAAAATGCGATGACTAAATTTGAAAATGATCAAATATTTTCCAAAACTCACTTGGATATTTAGAGGATAGGCATTATTAAAATTTTAATATCTTGTTTTTTTATTTATAGAAGCATTTTAAAAATTTACATCTAAGAGTTAGACATTCAGCACCTGTGCATTGCCTGTGGGTTTTTTTTTTTTTTTTTTTTTTGCACTGGTGGGGTTTCAACTCAGGATCCTATAGCTTTGCCACTCCACCAGCCCTTTTTTTGGTGATGGGATTTTTCAAGCTAGGGTCTCTCTAACTTTTTGCCTGGGGCTGGCTTTGAACCACGATCTTCCTGATCTCTGTCTCCTGAGTAGCTAGGATTACAGGTGTGAGCCACTGGCGTCTGGTTTGCCTGTGATTTTTATTGAGAGTCTAGCATGGTGGTCACTAAGCAGGAATGTCAAAGCATTCTGTCTCATCTGATAACTAGTCACCACTCCTGTGTACTTGCTTAGGACAGGTGCCAGTATGCATCCTGGGTTTGCCGCTTACTGACCACTGGGCTATTGGCAAATTATCTGACCTCTTTGGGCTTTAGTTTTCTCACTTTTAAAATGAAGATAATATGTAATTCATAGTGCTGTTTTGAAGATTGAATGATATGTTTACAAAAGCCAACACTGAGGCTTCTTATAGCTAAAACCAAAAAGCACATTTGAATCTGGTCTGAATCAAATTGCTTCTACACTTTTTCACAGTCATTCTAATTTAGATTCTTCAGTTACGCATTGGGTCCTCCACGTTTTTGAGCAGTTGATTAGTAGTTCTTACAAGTATGAAAACATGCTTCTTAGATATCGGTGGGTTTGTTTAGTTTGGGTCCCTTCAGTCACTATCTTATGGATATAGAATGTGTTACTGTTATTTTGAGTTTGTTGCCCAGATCAACATTATTTTAGTTTTTTCCAAGTGTGTACCTTAGTGGGTCCCACAGTTTCTTGATTTCAGTTCTCAACTTGCCTTTAAGTGGCCCTTTTCCAAATTTTGTCCTGACCTAAGTCCTCCCATCAGATGCACATTCTTAAATTTTATCTTATATTTGTGTCCTTATGGGTGTGTCTGAACTACTTTAGCAATGTTCTCTGCCTCTTTCATGGTTCTCAGGCAACAGAGCTTCCTGTCTGCGGACCAGAATTCATTCTGATGTCACTGCATTTCCATCCCCAGCAGTCATATCTGAGGGCAAAATGGTGGCATATTTTATCATGGCAGCATTTAATGTTGATGAAACTCCATGGTAACCATCATTACAGTTACGCGTTCCACAGTCTCGTTAGTCATTGTACATGGCCCACATCAGCCACCAGCATTTTGTGCAGTGATCGTCACTCTTGTGGTTATCAGAATGCTTCAGGCATTAGGGTGGAAATGGTAAATTTGGTTCAGACTGTGTGGGTGTCAGTGCGATTATATTTTCCCCAATTGAGAACACATCTACGAGGAATCTTCTTGAGTTTAAGACTCTGATTTACCATGTTGGGACCATCACACATTTGTGTGACTAAACATTACCTTGTAAACAGCAGGTATGCAAAACACATATTTTTAAATCTGTGACTCTTAACAATAGTGTAGGGAATGCTGTCTCTAGGTGTATGTGTCTTGACCTGTCTATTTTAATGTGTCTGATATTTTTCAAAAATCCAAATGGGGCAAACTTAATCATTTTTATGTCTTTTCTTCTTAGGCTTATCAGAAAGGGGCTGCTCCTAAAAGCCGAATTCTTCCTGCTGGTGGCAAGGTGTTAACCTCAGAAGATGACTATAACATATTATCTGATAGGCACTTCCCAGACCCCATTGGTGAGTTGCTGAGCAATCTTTTTCAAGGCAGAATTCCTCAATTTGCTTTGGTTAGCTAGACCAGTGGTTCTTAATGGGGGGAGAGGAATTTAGCTTTCCAGGGACATTTCACAGTGGGTAGAGGTCAGTGCTGTGCTAAACCTCCTACAATGCACAGAACAACACCCAACAGTGAAGAGTTATATGGCAGAAAAATGTCAGTAATTCCAAGGTTAATAAGCTCTGGACTAGAAACTCATAGACAAATCACAGATGTAATTTCTCTAATTTAGGTAAGCATAATACCGCTCCTATTATTTCACACCCCATTCAGTAATACAAGTTGGTTATGGGATTTCTATAGCACATGGAAAATGTGTTATTGGCCAGGTATCTTGAAACTTTGGGAACATATGACAGGCTTTGATGGCACCACACAGAGCAGCAGAAATAAGCAGGTAGGACTCTGTGTGAAATGTACAATCCTGTTTTTCAGTAAGCAAGTCTGAATGTGTTGGGGATTATTATCTTTCCACTTTCAGGGTAATATACAATAAACTGACACACACACAAAGATCCTTTAAATAAACATAACATAGCTACTAAAAAGAAAGCATTGCATTAATTCACTTATCTAAATAAAGCTGAGTGCTGCTGCTGCTGCTGCTGTGGTGAGAGCATTGACCTGAGAACTGGGGATTGGAGTCTGATGTAGTTCTGTCACTTATCAGCTGTGTTCAGTTTCTGTTTCTCCAACTCTAAAACAGGGCTTTACACTTGAAAATTGAAAAGGATCTTCCCAGCTTCAATGTCCTTTGATTCTCATTCATTCCACTTATTTTTATGTAGGGAGAGCGATGGGTAATGCATACACTGAATAGGGCAATTCATAGAGATTCATGAACTGTGGGATGTAATAACTCCATCTGGCTTTGTGTAAATCACACCACACAGTAATTACTTGGTTTCTTGAAGACAGCCCTGGTTCTTATTAATGAGCACAATTCACTAAAATTTATGGAGAAAAAATCATCATATCATCAGTTGTCATTTTGGTGCAGAATTCTCAGCACAGTGTTTTTAATGACACAATTATAGGACTAGTACATGGACCGTAAACCTAGATGAACAAATTATTACTAACGTAATTCAAGCTAAAACAACACTTTATGTGCACTGTACCTATTCTTACATTTTATATTTTCTTCCAACATCTACTTATCTGCCATCTTTGCTGTAGACCCCAGTGTAGAAATAGGAATTCCAACATGTTGACTCTTGAGGATCTCTCTAGAACTTTCCAGTGAAATCATTCAGGACAATATATGATTCATTGATGAAATCCTATCAGAAAGAATGAAAAGAAAGACAAAACACAAGACTTGTGTGACTAATGCCTGCTGGCCCAGGGCTTTCCACTGGGGCATTTCAATGACTATCTTTATTGTGTGGTGTGGCCTTCTAACTCTTAAAAATAGAATATTCCATAGTGGATCATTTGTGATAGCAGTGTAACTCAACTCAGAAGAAAGGCATGTGGAAAGTTGTAAAAGGTTAAGTGAGAGACAACTAGAGGTTAATGGGAGGGAATGTCATGGGTATTACTGAAGATAGATCCAAGGAGTCAATGTGGCTTCAGGTGTTTGTACAAAATTGTTGACATGTTGGAGAGGGTGAGAACTGTTTCACAAAACTATGTTAATCAGGACTCACTGATGCTGTTTCTCCTAGAGAGAATACATTGAAATATGAAGCTGGGAGGAATTAATCTGCTTAAGGAAAAGCACTAAAGGCTTATAAATAAATGTCTTCTTTATGGTGTGTTCTGTTAGTGTGAGTTATCAAAAATAGCCCTATGTTTTGCTAGAGAAATTTACTTTTTTTAGCATTTTATTGGAATCTGGTTTGCCTCACACAACAATCACACACACACACACACACACCCTCCAATTAAATTCGCAAGGTTTTATTATCTTGCTAAAGATGCATGAGTGTTAGTCCAGGGCTGGTGTGATAGATCCACAATTTCTCAGGGCCTCAAGCTCTTTCTAGGTTTCTCCTCCTTTATTTCTAGGTTTTGGCCCTTATTGGCAAAGTTCAGGATGGCTGATGGACCTCCAGCCATAGCTTTCTGATTCCAGATAGCAGGAATAAAAAAAGAGGAGGGGATGTATCTCCTTTCTTTTTTTTGGCAGTACTGGGATTTGAACTCAGGGTGCTCTACCACTTGAGCCACTCCACCAGCCCTGTTTTATATTGGTTTTTCTGAGATGGGGCCTTGCAAACTATTTGCCTGGGCTGGCTTCGAACCGGAATCCTCCTGATCTCTGCCTCCCGAGTAGCTAGGATTACAGGTATGAGCTGCCAGCGCCCAGCTTATCTCCTTTCTTTAAGGATGCCTTCAGGAAAGTTCATAAACCGCTTCAGGTTATATCCCATTGGCCAATAGTTGTGGGCTACAAAACTATAAGGAAAGCTGGAAACATGTGCATAGTCTTTATTCTATGCTGTCACTTGCCAACCTAAAAAGTCAGAGGTTTTATTACTGAGAAAGAAGGAGAGAGTAGATATTAAAATTGGCATTCACCCATTCATTCTTATGTTGATTCGTTCTTATTTTATTATGTGCAAGGCATCCCGCTAGGCACTGATATGCTGCAGCCTGTGCTCCCAGTGCATTCTGTTCTGATACTTTCTGATTCCCAGCTGGTATGATGGTGCATGCCCGTGATCCAAGCACTCAAGAGTTTGAGGCCAGTTGGAGCTACATAGCAAGAAACTGTCTCAATAAACAAAATAAACTCTCAGATTCCTGGACAATGGAACAGGTCTCTTAGACATACCCACCAAGAAAACTATTATCTACCTAAGCCAATTCTGATTTATCAATTTTCCTGTAGCTGACCCAGTTCTGGATCCTCCCTTATGGTTGTGATGTGACCCATTTCTTGGTGTGCTAACACTTTCACTAGCCTTTTTTACTTTTTTTTTTCCTGAGTCAGGGTCTCACCATATAGCCCAGGCTGGCCTCGAACTCATGATCCTCCTGCCTTAGTCTCCCAAGTGCCTCTTCCTTTCTCTCCTGGAAACTGCTGCCCATTTTGTAGGCTGGGAGCACAGAACTATTCCTTCTGTATGTGCTTTAAGTTGGAGCTTTTTACCAAGTGCAGTGTCATATAACAAGAATGCATGAGAGGAATAAGGTTGAGATAGGGGTTCTGTCTCTCTCATGCTGGGGTTTGAACTGAGGGTCATGAACATGCTAGGCAAATACCATACCACTGAATTACATCCTCAGCCTCAAATTCTCAATTTTTAGGGCTTCTAACATTCTCTTGGCCTTAGACTTGCTGAAGTCAGATGTCTCCTGGATTCCATGACTGTGCTGTGGGCTGAGGATCCAAGGATGTGATATGGTCCCCATCCTCTACAAGCCCCCAGTCCAGGGCAGTGGGGAAGCTCATCTCACTCTGCAACCCACCTCCCTCCCCCGGCTGTGGGTGCCAGATGTAGAAATGGGTCATTACAATATTTTGGGAGATCAAGTTAGGGACCATACAATTCCATCTCTATCTCCAGTGCTGGCAAAGACATCCCAAAGTTGCTGGCTTCTGAATTGAATTTGAAGGATGAATAAGAATTTTCTATGGGAAAGCATGAGGAAAGGAAGGAGGAGCAGGTGATATGGATTTCAGGAGCCACAGGAAAAGCTGGAGAATGGAAGAGCATACCCCAGAAAGGAATACCAGTGCAGAACAGGGCAAACACCAACACTTAACAGGAAGATATAGAAAAGCAGCAGAGCAACCAATAAGGCGACAAAGATTTTTAAAGATTTACTATATAAAATAACAGGCTTCTTTGTTTGACCTTTCCACATGTGCATATAATGTACTTTGATCTTATTTATCTTCATCATAGTCCATTGCACCCTACAGCCCTTCCACCCTAAAAAAATAATTCTCCACTTAGGTTCATGTTGTTTGAAATATTAAAAAAAAAAAAAAAAAAGCATGAAGGAAACACGAAAGACAGGTGCTCCTGAAAGTCAAGGGGAGAGAATGTTCCCAAAAGGAGGGGCTGTTAGCAACAGATGTTTCAGGTCAGATTTAAAGGACAGTGAATAAAGAAGGCATCAGCTGGCAGTGCAGTCACGTTGACATCAGACATTGATGGGACAGGAATCGGACTGAGGTGGGAATAGCAGTTGGTGAGGCAGCAAGTGCTGCTTGGCTGTGACAGGGAGGAGAGGAGATCTGGGAGAGCCTGATCCTGCAGGGGAGGAGAGTGAGCATGCACAGGTGGGGGGGCAGGGGGCAGTGGGAAGGTGAGCTCTGTGTGCCATGTGTTCCGCAGGAGGAGTTGAACACAATTGTGTTCGGAGACTGTGGATGTGTCTTTGGAGGAGACATGTGCTGGAGGGGAACTGGTGGAAGCATGGAGAGGAGCCCAGACTTTCCATTCTGTGCTGTCCTGGGGACTTCCATAGCCTGAAATAAGTATCTAAGACAAAAGCCACATGGTTTTAAAGTGATTTGTGTCTCCAATATTTCTTTAGCTTCCAGTGAGAAGGAGAGCTCTCAGCCCTTTGTGGTCCTGCCCAAGGCATTCCCGGTGTACCTGTGGCAGCCATTCCTCAGACATGGCTACTTCTGCTTCCACCAGGCTGAGGACCAGAAGAGGTTCAGTGCCCTCCTGACTGACTGTATCAGACACCTGAACCACGGTACGTTCCAGCTTCCTTCCTGCCCGAGGGGCTGCCTTTTCTGAGTTGCCCTGGTCAGTCATCTGCTACCTTGATTCTTACAGCTGCAGACAGTGCTGCCCCAGGGAAATGACAGGAAGCTACACAGGAGCAAAAGTTCAGGGAAGCTAAATGTGGAGTGGTTGCCCTGCTTCCCACCACTCTGTTTAGTCATGCACGTCACTTTGCATGTAAGCCCTCCCCCTTTCCTGGTGTTTCTAACCTGTGTGTCAACAAGAACATCTCTCATCGATTTCCACTTTATTTCTGAGTAACAGTCACTTAAAATTAATTGCCTAGTTCATTGAAATCTAATATTTGTTTCCCAGTTAGCAGTTGTGTCAGTCAGCGTTCCATTACTGTGACAAATAAGGTTTATTTTGGCTCACTGTCTTGGAGGTTCCAGTCCGGTCCATTGGGTCCCTTGCTTTCAGACCTGTGGTGAGTCAGTGGAGAATTTTCAGTGACAGCTTGTGGTAGAGCAAAGCTGCCACCTTATGGCTGTGGAGTAAAAGAGAACAAGGAGCCAGGGTCTCATACTCCCCTCAAGGGCTGACCCCAATTGCCTTAAACGCGTTGCACTAGGCTCCACCTCTTAAAGGTTCCACTCCCTCAGCATTTTTGAGTAAAATCATCTAACACATTTAATCGTAAAGTGTTGGATACCTCATAGACATATGCAGGTGTCCCCAGGCTGGGGACCATGTCTTTTAACACATGGGCCTTTGGGGGAATGCCACCCCAAACCATAGGTAGAGAGTACTTAATTAAGACACATTGATGCTTGTGCTCTGCCCTCAGACATTCTGATTTACAGGGACTGCCATGCTGGGGTTTGAACTCAGAGCCTCACGCTCTACCACTTGAGACTCTGCCAATCCTGTTTTGTATTTTCGAGATAAAGTCTCTTGAACTATTTGCCTGGGGCTGGCTTCGAACCACAATCCTCCTGATCTCTACCTCCTGAGTAGCTAGGATTATAGGCGTGAGCCACCGGCACCTGGCTGGGCCCTGCAGTTTGCTTTTCTCCCTAACTGTGAAGTGATGCAGATGCTACTGGTCCACAGGCCACTCTTGAAGTGGCACTGCCCCAGACCACTTTGCCTCTAGGTATGAATTTAATTAATATTCCATCTGTAATAAAAGAGACTTTTCATTCCAATATGTGGTGTTTTTGACATTTTGATGTGAGTGCTGGTTTTTCTGGACTCCACTTTTTAAACCTTCAGTTACAGACAACTGAATCCTGTGTTCTGTGACAATTGGAAAGGCATCCAGTTGAATACCACTGTGCTTACTCTGTGCCAGCCTCTGTTGGGGTGTTAGGAACAGAATAATGAAGCATGCAGAGTTCCTCTCTTGGGGAGTCTAAATTCAACCAGGAAGGAGGGACAAATGCACCCATAAATTCTAGTTTGAGAGTTATCTAGTTTACGGTGGTAAAGAGTAACAAGAAGTCACTGCCTAGTAAAGAAGGGAGTCTTGATGGTCCCACTCCACAGTGGCTCGACTTAGGGTTTTTCCAATTGATGCTGGTGCCAAAATGATATACCTCTGGGCATGGTGCTCTCTCCCCATGCTGGATGCTGGCAGTGAGTGGCAGCTCCCAACTGGCCCCATGATTGTGAGAGGTGACTATCAATACTTTACCATGTAGTGTATACCTAGAGTTTTTAAATATTATATTTTGTGGTTTGCGTCTCATCCAAAACACCCACTTGCATGTGTCTGAGAGATATCTAACACTTTATGATAAAATGTGTTAGGTGCCAGGCACTGGTGGCTCACATCTGTAATCCTAGCTACTCAGGAAGCAGAGATCAGGAGGATCACGGTTCAAAGTCAGCCCGGGCATAGGTTCTGTGAGACCCTATCTCAAAAAATCCTTCACAAAAATAGGGCTGGTGGAATGGCTCAAGGTGAAGGCCCCGAGTTCAAGCCCCTATACCAGTGTGTTAGATGATTTTGCTCAACCATAGGCTAGGACAAGTATGCTGAGTGTGTTTAAGGAAGGCCATACTAGGCTGTGATGTTCCATGGGTGAGGGAGAGTTAACTGCATTTTCAACTTATGGTGAGTTTGCTGTGATGTAACCCCATGACAAATCAAGGAGCACCTGTACAGAACGTTAAGCTTATCAGGAAGATCTATGAGCAGGTGACATTTGAGCTGAGTCACCTCATCCAAGTGCCTTTTTTTTCCTACTCTGGTGAATTTTACCATACACTTGCTTTAAAATTTAGAGGTTCTCTCAAGACTGTCAGGCCTACAGAGTGACTGTCACTGGTGACGCATTTCAGCCACTTCTTGTCTTTAACTTGTGTATCAGTCAGAGGCGAATGGAAAAAGGTAATGTCACTCTGTTTTGCTATAGCAACTCTGAGTACCATTCATAATATTGACTCTTAACTAGAGACTTAATAAAAATGATTATTAATATATTTCCTTGTGGTTTTGGGAATTGCCCAACACTGCCTGCTCCATCTCGATCATTTTTGAATACACTTGACCCTCTGTGTTTAGGGCCTTGGTCTAGTATGAACATGCAGTTGGCACCAAACTGAGGAGCTGTGATGTTTCACTGACCAGCCAGATGGGACTTGCTGCATTCCCCCTTCCTTGTACATAATAGGAATTTCTCTGGGGAGCTTTTGATGCTATGTAGCTTGCATTTAGACACCATTTATGGAAGATTTCAGTCGATTCCAACCCTAGCTCTGCTCTCTAGTATGTCATCAAAGGCACTAAGACTATGAGAAAGTTACATTGGCCTTGTCCTGTGTGGCACATTCTTCTGTCCAGTAACCATTTGCTCCTCCTTGAGTGTTTATGCAAACAACTGGGCATGGCTTCCTGGGCTGTAGTCATGAGCTATAGTCAGAATCATAGACCATCACAGCACTTGGGGAGCAATCTTTGGCTATTGTGGGCTGATGAGCTCCTGGTTCTTTCTCATCTTGCCTCTTTTTTTGTATTCAGTGGCACAGTGCACCACCATCTTTACTGAATCACTTTTTCTGTCCCAGTCTTTACCTGATACTCATTGTATGATCTTAAATAAACCAGTAGGAGTTTTCCTCAACCAGCCAGTTCACATTTTTCCATGCTTACCAGAAGAGTTTAGAAGTAGATGTAAAACTATGACTGTGATTAGAGCCAGAAACTCTAAGAGGGCTGCAAGGAGCCTGCTGTCTTCCACCCCAAGCAAGCAGAAGTTTGCTGTTGACATTTATTTCTCTAGTGGCCCAGAGGCCACCATGCTTCTCTGTTGAGAACTGGGTCTTAGATATTCTGGCACTGATGCTGGGCTGCTGTTGGTCCCACTTGGGATTCCCAGGATGCATTTGCTAGTGCTCAAATGCAGCCATGGCCCACTTGTCCCAGGAGCGTTGGGTCCAAATTGTTCTAAATGTTCAAGTCCTTCCATTCTGAATCCAGACCTCTTCTCCTGTTGGTCCTTAAAGTAAAGGGGTATTACATATTTAACACTAAAAAGGGACCTGATCATACCCATTCTTGGACAATGAGGCTGTCTGAAGATAGACGAGGGCAGGGAGAGAGATTTGTGATCTAAATGGAACAGACTTTAAGTGCTTCAAAGATTATTTGCACTCCTAAGGAACACAGAGGTGTGTGTGTTGGTTTGGTTTAGTTTTGGCACTTCTTCAAAGAGCAGGCGTAAGAAACCTCACAAGATTAGTCTTTAGTGGAACATCTCACTCCTACCCACTGTGCTAACTATTAAGCCCACTACTTGACCTTTGCCTACAGTCACTGCTGCTCTCTGTCCCAACTGCAAATCATTGCCCCTGACTAGAGACGGTGAGGGTTGTGGCTGTGTGCTGCCACAAAATGGAGCTGATACCAATTCAAGATGTTCTAGGCCAGTTTTGTCATCCAAAATTCAGTCCTGTTACTCAGAATTTTAGTTTGCAAAATGTGGTCATTGTAGTTATAGGAATGTGGTTAAAACTTCTGAGAAATATAGATAGCTGGATATTTAAAAAAAAACCAAACAAAAACACAATAAAATTAGATATCAGTTTCCTGCTTTAGTAGGATGGTTCACATAAAATTCTTTTGAAGGAGTCTCTCTTCTTGGCCTGCATTCCTTCTTGAAGTTTGGCCTGTGCTCTTTGCAGCACATAGCCAATATTCTACATTATAGTTCCCTTCATTTCTTTGTGAGTATGTTCTTATCACCTCTCCCTTTCTAGTCTTTGCTAATTACTCAGAAAACCCTAAATTAGAAAGAGACCTTTGTGGTCACCTACTGCATCCCTTTAGAGTTTATTTAAGATAAGGCTTAACTAGGTCACAGCTAATTAGTGACAGAGGATCAAAGGTGACACCTGACCTTTGACTTCTGTTGTTTCTCAGCGTTACCTTACAAAAACTTCATCTCTTGAGCATTTTAAACGTGGGTTTTAAATCAAAGTACTCGTGTGATATAGTTGCATGACCCAGAGTGCAGGAAGTCTGGCGCTATTCACTTAAGGTCCCCTGAGACCTGGGATGTGACTGTTTTTTTGGTAAGTAGTATTATCTAAGTGGACATTGGTGTTTTGTCTACCATCTATATGTGACCATATAATTTTATGCTTTGAAGATAAATAGCATAGCTCGTTTTCTGGTTAAATTTTGTATAGTCTAAAAGGAAGCCACATATGGTATTATACAATTTGCATAAAACTTTGCATTGCTCATGAGCCACATGGGTTGGAATATTTAAAAAATAATTGATCTAAAATGAGCCTCCAGGCCAGGTTCAGTGGCTCACATCTATAATCACAGCTATTCAGGTGGCATGTTTAGAAGGATCACAACTCAAGGCCAGCAGGGCAAAAAAAAAAAAAACAACTTGTGAGACACCATCTCAACAAAAAAAAAGATGGGCACAGTGGTGTGTGCTTGTCATTCCGGCTACATGGGGGGCACAGGTGGAAGGGTCACAGTCCAAGATGACCCCAGGCAAAAACTTG